AGATGATTTTGCTTTGTCTCCCTTTGTCTCTCTTTGTCTCTCTTTCTCTCCCATGGCCTGTCTGGACGCTGGGCCGACATGTTTTTGCTTTGTCTCCTTTGTCTCCCATGGCCTGTCTTGATGCTGGGCTGAGATGATTTTTCTTTGTCTCCCTGGACGGCGCGTGGAGAATAAGACCCTGAAGCCCGCAGGCTTTAGTCATGTTGTTCCATTTAGCTGGCGGTGGGGTTGTAGTTGTATGATGTTGTATGTAGTTGTGGTTACACCCTTTTTTTGGAGCCCAGTTAGTTGAGTTATTTCAAGTGACTTTTCCTTCAAATCATTCTATTTCATGGCGCATTGAGTCTTACATGTCTTACCGCCTACGGGCACGCTGGTCAAAGGAGGCCGATCTTTCAGATCAAAATCAGCACCGAAATGACCAACAGCTGCTGAAGCAGCGCTTGAAGAATCTGTGTCAGTTTCACGTGTGCATTGCAATTGCATTTCCATGCATTTCCTATAGGATCTGCCTGCTGACTTTGCAGTGATTTCACAGGACCGAATGGATGTTGTTGTTGAACGTAGGGATAGTAGGGCGTGATTTCGGCAGGTGTGGAAAATGACTGTGGAAGAACTGGAGGTCGGGAGCATGCTGTAGGAGATGTGGCTGGTGAGAGGAAGAGGTCAAGGGCCTTCAAGGGGTGAAGGTAAGAGAAACGGACAGGGTGAGTGATCATTCATCGATCTAAGTGGATGAAAAGCATGTTCTCCACCTCCACCTTCTCCACCTTCTCTTCATGGCGTTCGTGGTCGATTTGCTCCCAGCTTCGCTTGTGGCCCGAGCTTCGTGGCCAGGCATGGATCCTGGGCAGTGGTAAGGCGGCCCGTCGAGTGGTCCGGGTCGTCGGCCCGGCGGCTCGTTGGCTGGGTCGCGTTGTTGACCCTCCAAGAGAGGTGGAACGTGACCGTGAATAGGACCTGTCACCTGGGGTACCCAGTCCTGGGATAGTCGAACCTTTTAGGGCCTTTCCCGTGAAAGGCATGTGAGCATTGACCACTGACTATCTATAGATACCGAGCACGTCGGAGGACTTACCCTTAAGATGCTTCAGACACCTAGATCCTGAATGACTCTATTTTGGACCACAAAACCACCCCAAAGATGGTCTTTTCCTATCAACACAGAAGTCAAACCGGTTCCAGGAAAACATACTGTACACCATCATGCATCTGGAGGAGTTCGTTTTGTCGAAACTGGTTATGAGACTTTGGCACCCTCTTTGACCGTGTGGGGCATGGCCAGGGTCTGTCGTCAAGTACCTCACCATAACTCTTTTGGAGATCCTGGTCCCCATAGGGACCACCGTTTTCCCACTTTGCGTGGCAAGAGGTCATACTGATACTACCCCAACTGTTGTACCTTCCTTTCCAGGCCCGGAAGCCTCGACGCAAGAAGAAGGCCGAATCGGGGCCGTCGGACCGAGTGGAGCACAAAACGACCTGCAGGAGTGGGGCACGAGCGAGGCGCAAGGTCACTTCACATGACCATCGGGTCCTGTTTTCCTTCGTCGGCGCCAGCATTTTTGGTATTTTTGCACTGGGCACCTCTTTTGAAGGACTTTCTTGAGTTTGCTAAGTGTTGCTCTGTTTTTTGGGACAGCGGAATTCAACCCTCGGTTGTTGGATTTTGTATAGCGGAGGGCGACGCCTGTCGTTGGTGCACGAGGATTTTTGGTGGCAAGACATTGGGGTAGCTGTTGCGAGCACGGCATCAGATTCTGCCCAGTGATGTGCGAAGCTTCTCATGCAGACAACTACTTCAGCCATGCGCGAGCTGTTTGGTGTTAGTTCTCTGAAGATCTCTGAAGGGTATTGTTTTGCAGACATCAGACACCATCCTCAAAGGCCACTGGGTATGTATGAGAATGTATGAGAAGGTATGTTTTCCGCAACTGAGGTGAACATGCCTCCCTATGCCTCCCTACACAACATGTTCTGGTTTGTTTGCCATGTTACGTTATGTTATTATATAGTTATATAGTTACTTATATGTTAAATTGTCAGCTACCAGTGATACGCGTTGGATTGTTTTGGACACCAGCCCTAGGTGATGTGCTGACACCGCTAAAGCTCTCGCGCTTCTGCAAAGATCGGAAGCTATGCCCAGATTGGCTGCAAGGTGGGCGAGAACACCACAGGCACACCAATGCAAGTCCATGTGAATGTTGACCAAATGGCAAGTTCAATCATTGATTCGACATGCACCAATGCCTGTGCCGTCCAAAAGCAGTTCACATGTACCACAACCAATCCGGATCAGCTGTGTGTGCTCCGGGTCGGAGGGGCCTCGCTGGTCACGAACTCTTAGGGCCCAAAATGAACACCATCGATCTCCGTCGGTGTTCATCACTCCGATCTCCGAAGGGAAAGCGGAAAGCGGAAAGCGCCATAAGAATAGGGCCCCAACTTGAAATATGGCAACCTCTTGGAATGACCCTCCATGAAACTTGCATAGCACTGGTTTTGAACAGCAGGAGAAGGGGATTGAGAGCGTGACTGTGGATTGCCCTGCAAGAGCAAACATGGAGTACATGTCAGGCTCCAGTCTGCACGCTCGGCCTGCAGCACCTGAGGCGAGGGAAGCGAGGGAAGCACCTAAGGAATCATTTGAAGCCAGGAAGATCTCCAGTTTCCATGGTGCTTTAAGGGTCACATTGGAGCCTAGAAGGCAGTTTTGTGAGTTATTTTTTTCCGGTGGCCATGCTGGCCATCTCACTTCCTTGTTTCTGTTCATGACACGTCAACACAAACATGCTGGCTAGAACAGCATTTTGAAAAGCCAATGGCGCAACTTACTCTGAGTAATACTCCAGATTATGCCAGTTGTCCGTGCTTCTGGTACCCTGCAGCCATTCCATGACAAGCTTTTTGCGCAGATGCGCAACTTCAAGGGCTAGAGGAGGAACGACGCTGGCTAGTCTAAGGCCCCAACAAACGCCGGGAGTGATGGAGGGGCTCCGAGGGGCTCCGAGCGGCTCGCAGCGGCTCTGTGGACTTCGGCCAAATTGGCCTTCCTTGAAACGACATCGTCCACTTCCAGGAAGAAGTGATTCATCAAGATTCTGCTTCTTCATGGGCACAAAAAAACAAAACACTCCCTGGAATGAACCTGGACATGCAAGAATGGCCCCTTTGGGAAGACGCTGTTCCTCTACAGGGTGGTTTCCACTTCTGATGTTAGTGAGTTGGAGTGTCAATCAATTCAGCATCCCAATTCCTTCTGACCAAGTTCTCCCCCGGTACCCGCTGCGGAGGCGGATCCAGCGGCTGGGCCGGTGCCGTTGGGATGCCCGGTTGGAAGCTTGTTCTGCGACGAAGCATTGGAGACATGCTTGGGAGAAACAGTGCCGTTGGGCCTTTTGAGATCGTGAGCGCCCGCATGATTGCCATTTCGCCCCCATATCGCAGCCTCTGGTGTGGGCGAAGCAAGCGCCCCACCTTTTCGGTGAAGCCTCAGGGGCTTTCAAGGTGAACCAGAGAGGTGCGTGCGAGGTGGAACATGCGAGCACGAGGTGAGGGGATCCAACTGAGCGATGGCTGTCTTCAGGTATGTCCATGCAAAAACCATGGTGTTTGAATAAAGAAAGAAGGAAGGGTGTAAAGGTTTAAAGAAAGAAAGAACGGAGAAAAGCAAAACCACGTTTCTGGCTGACTAAAGGTCTCAAAACAGTTTGCTTTTGGGGAATGAGGAGAAGTCGGAACAGGTCCCGCCCCTCCGAACCTCTTTGGAAATGGCTTCATCTTGCCCCAGAAGCCTCATGAAAAAACCAGGTCGCTACGAAAGACATCCACCCCGTGTGAAAAGGAAGATCTTCAAGGATCAGTGGTTTATACTGGTTTATATATATGATCGTCCTTAAGTACATAGAATGCGGAATTGAGCACATTCCGTCAGTTCAATTCCATATTCTAAGTACCCTGCTTTGACCAAAAGCAAAAGGTACTTGGGATATGCCCAAGGGTACTTGGAATATCTCGGAATATCTAAGTTGGTGCGCGCGGGTGTTTCGATCGGGGCAAGCGGGTGCTTCGATAACACAATCCTGAAGATGATTCTAGGGATCCCTATATTCTATGTATATTTTTTGGTTGAGTTGAGTGCCGCGGGATTGAGTTGCACCGAAATTCTATGTACTTCAGGATGGTTAGTGTATATATATATATATATAGAGAGAGAGACCCACATCTGTCTGGGTCCCTTGTTTGGGTGCGTTTGTGCCATTTACTCACTCTGAAACCATCACTGCAGATGATCCCAAATGACCTCGCCTCCTCGGCCAAGGGTGCTGCCACCCCGGACCTCCACCGGCGCTCGCGCGATGTTCTCGCACGCCGGATCAGGGTCAACTCAACGGCAGGGGCACCCCCTTCCCATAGATCAAGTAGTAATAATGAAAAGGCCACCTGAGTTGACCCACACGGGTCTTCGTGACCGGTCCGCGCTTCGCCGAGTTCGACGACCCATTCGAGCCACCGCCGCACGAGTACGCTGGGATCCAAGCGACGCGCGGGCGGGAGAAAAACGAGTGATATAGTACTATATACTTTAGTAAATAGATCGCGCATATATTACGTATATACAAATATACCTATTTCATTGCATAGAATCATCTAGAATCTAGAGCACATGTGACAATCTTTGATCCGAAACGACCATATCTTGGGTTGGTGATCAAAACTAGAGATCGCTCAGGTTCTAGGTGTATCATAAATGTATATTCTGATGCATTGAAAAGCAGATCAAGATGACTGGGCCAGATAAGAGTGGCCAAGAATGACCATGATGAGATCCTTACGCACAACGGTATGCACTGAGGCCTTCCCATACAGCCCATGGGACGACCCGTTTGAACCGCCTTTCGCTGGGATCCAAGCGGAACTACCATAGGGGTAGTCATACTCCACCACTACCATAGGGGTACCATGAGTCATTTGGACTCTCATGTAAACTTCGATTTAGCTTGGGCTCTGCAGATGGTGCAGGATGGATCTGTGGATATCCATAGAGATTCTACTACACCCTGCCCTTCAAACGACGTTTGGTTTCAACATAGTCCTTGACTGTGCGGTTCACATCATTGCCTTTTGAATCCCTTTCGGTCAGAGTCCGCCGACAGAGTTATGACCCGCATCAGTCGGCGGACGACATCATCCTGGATCTTCCAACGACATGACGACGTCGTCATCCCAAATTCATCCCAAATCAGCCCAATTTTTGGCTTGGAAGATGCAGGTATACCAGGACCCACTGTCGGGATGGTTGATCAACCATGGCCTGTTTCACAAGAGTGGACACGGTTGGTTTCGGAATCTGTGGGGCGGCGGGAAATCCTAACTGATGGGTTGTGGTCGAAATCGGGGTTCTGCCTATTCTGATGCACACCGTTGTCGTGGCGGTCACATTCTGGTCATTCGACATGTCATCGTACAAGAACCCAAATCCCTGTCGTTCAGCTCTCGACAAGAACATCGACCTTCCGATGGTACGACCCATCTAGGTCGTCCTACTGAACAGCCCATGGGACGACCCATTTGAGCCGCCGTTAGCTGGGATCCAAGCGGAGGGGGCACAGAGAGAGAGAGAGAGAGAGAGAGAGAGAGGGAGTCCTGGCCAGCACAATTCTCAGTCACCAAGTGCTTCATGTCTAATCGGTACCGTTGTGCGTAAGGATCTCATCATGATCATGCTTGGCCACTCTTATCTGGCCCAGTCATCTTGATCTGCTTTTCAATGCATCAGAATACATTTATGATACACCTAGAACCTGACTGACCTCGAGTTTTGATCACCAACCCAACATATGGTGACCTCTAGTTTTGAACAAAAGATTGTCACATGTGCTCTAGATTCTAGATGATTCTAGGCAATGAAATAGGTGTATTTGTATATACGTAACTCTCTCTCTCTCTCTCTCACGCGCGCCTCTTTGAAAGTTCTGTGGCCCAATCGCCTGTAGATCTCCCCAGCTCAGGCAGACGCCATGGCCCGGGACCACAGGACGTTGCAGGGGCATGTTGGGAGGGTTTCGAAAATCGGCCAAGACATGGCGCTTGTAACTTCCAGACATTTTCCGCTGGGGGCCGGAAGACGCCACATGGACCTTTTGCGTGGGCCAGATGTTGCTGTGCAAGCTGCTGGTGGTACCACCGTGGATGTCCGCTTCTCCCCAGGCTTAGAATATATGTAGGTCCGGTGCTTTTGTTCAACTCTTTGCAGGCGCCGGCCTCCATGTCAACGAATTCGATCCATGTCCTTCAAGGGTTGCTGGATGGGATGGTAGGCCCAGAGCAATTCTGAGCATTGGTTTGGTATGCTTCATCCCGTTCCCTGTCGGATGATGCAACGGTATGTTTTTGGTTGCCTTTCGGTCAACGGCACAAAATTTCGCAATGTCCTCCCCCCCAAAAAATACAATGCCGCTTCGGGAGGTGTAAATATGCGCTCAAAATCTATGGACGGGAAGACACCGTATGGATGCCTTAAAACGCTGATTTTCTTTGCGGTTCCCACCTCGCGCAAACATTTGCCGGTCTGTGCTTGTCACGACAGCCTCCCACGAAAAAACCGTCCGTTTTTGAGGAAAAGATTCCTTAATGGCATTGGGCCCTTAAACTGAACAGGTCATTTCCCTGGACCCATGTGCTTTGGATTCTCTTCCAAATTGATGACCTCCCCACATTCATCTACACGAAAAGTGTGCAGCGTTTGCTTCTTCCCAAAGCACCGTATGCAGCCCAGAATTCGACCACGCGCGCATGCTTTTGTGTTGGTTGTGAAGTCATGTAGCTGGCGTGTGAGTTTGCGCAGGAGTTCTGGCAGTTGCGGGGCCAGCATTCTCGCGCCTCCTGGAACGCTGCAATTGCAGCAGCAGAGCCACGGCATTGGCAAAAAAGATAGAGTTTGCAAAGGAGCGAGTTGAAACCTCACGCACTTGATCCTGTTGATGGAGGTTTCAGATGAAAGCTATGCGTATCATTGTTCACTGGGAATTTTTGTCACAAAGTAGGCAGAAATTTGAATGCCCCACTATCTGAATGGAAAAAACCACCAACCACATTTCTTTCAATGAGTTGGCTGATTAACCCCAGTCCCTCAAAGTGGGGGCGGTGGAAACGCCGGCGGCAGAATCCTTTGACCCGTGGCCTTCAACACCCGTGACTTGGTCAAGCCAAGTGTTCCGAACCATGCAGGTCCAGGATCACACCTTCAAAAAACAAATCAACTGCTGTATGATCAAATGCCTATGCAGTTGCTGGTTTCCGTTTCAATGAAAATTGAAATACTAGTGACTTTGGAAAATGTCCAGCCATTCTGGTATCAAAGCTTTATCAATCAACAGTCTGCGTGAAGTGCCACAGCACAAAGACAGCCCCGACTCACTGAATTCATCAACTTACTATATATTAATGTTTTGCAGCTCGCTCTTCTGGTCGTTTTTGTCCTGTGGACAGAGATGTTTCACGGACTTGTGGAGTTGCATGAGCCAATGCAGTTTGCAGTTGTGTTGGAAGTCCAACAGAGAATAATCGAGATTTCGTGCGTTTGGCATGGATTAAGTGCATAGTGAAAATTGGCCACACGTTTTGGATGCCATTCCGACACCAATCATGCAATATGGGCTGGGATTACATAGAACAGGGTTCCAATTCTATATACAGAGGTATAAGCAAAGCAAAGCAGCGGCGCATTTTGTGACTGCAAGAAAGGTCAAGACCAAGCAAAAAAAACATCTTTCAGAATTGCCTTCAGCAACAACCATTCTTTTGGACCTTCCACATGCTTTCCTTTGAAACAATGTAACGCTGAAGCGTGGATGAAGTCATGCAGCCAGGCGGCGTGCAGGGCGAGTATTTGTGTTTGGCGGAAACGATTTTTGTGGTCTGGAGATAGCTTTACCACAAGGTTCGTAGTTCTCATTGCATCTGGCGGCGTTCTTGCAACCTCCGTTGATTGTGTTTGCAACGGAATCGACCGGAATTGTTTCAGGTTTCTTTGTGACGTCCGACGAACTCATGAGGATGAACAAAACATGATGAGGATGAATCCGACTTTTGGACGCAGTCATCCAATTGTGACAGCCATCGTTTTGCAGATCGTCGCTACGCAGATCGTCGGGTTCCAAGTTGAGAGAGCCTTGGCCCTGGAAGTGCGGCTGCAAATGCTCCATCAATCACACTTTAGTTGTTTATAACCTTTTGAGATGAGAGATCACCTTAAGTTCCTCAGGGTGAAGTGTCGTGACAGCAGTTTTCTTCCTCTTCAGCTTTATAGCCACCTGATCTGGGATGTTTTCGAGCTACTTCGGTTGCCGAGATGGTCTTGTCCTTTGATCAACCTGTTCACAATGGCTGCAGTTCTGAACTAGAAAAGTTGAAAAACACTGGTAGTGACGGGTAGTGATCAAGATTTGCATTGAAATGCTGATTTCCACCAATTCCTGGACCAAGTCCGGTGAAACTTTGGTGATGGCGTGAAGAGTGAAGGAACCCCAGCAGACTCAATTTGCATTGATGGTTCTTTGACGCGTATCCCAGCAACTGTGAGGAGCCGTGTTCTTTTCCCCAGCGACCCCTACAGAAGCACAGTCAGCATCTGGGCCCAATTAGCCGAACACAGAGGTCTTTTCTGAAACATACTGGATCTAAAAAAAGAAATATAATATATATATATATAGATATATAGATATAAAACACATTCTCACACAAAAGTTCAATCGATTTGCGCATGCTGGCCACCTTGACTTGGCAGTTCACCTGGCTCCAACTGGCCCAGACGAATTGGTTAATCATTTCTGCAAACTGGGCAGAACTTCTGAACATGCCGAGTCCGAGCTGAGTCAGACAGATGTCGTCCACGCTTGGCATGTTTTTAGCCCCCGCACCCGAGGCGGTCTCATCACCGAGGGCTATCCTCACCGACGTCGCCAACGGCATTCACGGTACAACAGCTCAGCATCGGCTGCTCGGTGAGCAGGGGTGAGCAGTGGGGCAGTGGGAAGTGAGCAGTTGGAAGATCGACCACGATACATTTTGGCACTTCCCATCCGCTGGCAGCTTGTTCCAACGTGCCGTGGAGTCGAGCCTTTAGAGAAAGGCCAGGTTTTTTGTACATGTTGTGAGCTTTCGTTGCCTGTCATCCGTTGCTACGTAGCGTTGTGCTTGGCGTAGCAGTGACTTAGTGACTGGACTGGACTGTGTTGGAAGATCAACATAAGCTATTGACCTCTCGGATCTGATTGACAAGCTACGGCAAGCGTCGCAAAAAAGGATTGCAACATGTTGGGACAAAGAGCTGCACTCTTCAGAAGAGAAAGAGGATTTCTTTGCAAACATGCTGGAGTTCTCACTGCAGACGCAAACGTGTGTTTTCTCAACTCTATTTGTCAGAACTGACATAGGGCATCGTCTGTTCCAGACTAAACCATGTGGGACCACCCTCCCAAATCCTATGTTCCAGCACTAAGCCATTTGGGGGCACCCTTCCTGCGTGCTCCGCCTCCAGCGTTCAGCACGCCGTTCAGCGCGGAGGTCCACAGCCAACTGCGAGGAACCGACGCGCCGGAATGCGCTGCCCCCGGTGCGACCCCCGGTGGCTTACACCGTGGACCTGGATGGCCCCCAAAAAGAGACTACTATATACAATCACCATTGAGGAAAAGCACAAGCAAGGGTAACATCAAGTGCCACAAATCCTTCCCCTGGTTCGACTAGAATCAACTATATTGAGCGGTTTTTTGTTGTGCTCCCTGTCCCATCAAGCGCTTGAACGATGCCCTTTTTCGGACGCCTCCAGACACGTCCCCAGTGACCCCACCCCCCCGTGCTCCCATCCGTGAGGCGATTTGGGAGACCCGCTACCTCAACTCCACGGAGGTTTGGGCGGACGGATCGTGGATCGCGGGGTTTGTCACTGCTGGTTCTGTCAATTAGTAGTTGGAAAAAACGTAACTTCTTCCAGCCAACTTGTACTTGCCCCAAAATGAGATAGGCAGAGAACCTGAAGCTGGATGAATCTTGGGTTGGACCAGCTTCCCCACCTTTCACCGGTGTCCCTGACCCGAGACGTGTCCAAATGAAAAAACCACGCAAAACCCCTTCCTCCAGTTTCACCACTTTAACCATACCGTTGCGAGCGTTCCTCCTGTTGCGCTTGCCGAGAATGCCAGCCCGTTTTGTGCCTTTGCTCCGCTCGGGCGTCCAGTCTCCCAGGCCTATGCCGTGGTGCTCGCGAGCGACCTGATCCTGAAGAAGCGATCCGACATGGGGCACCTTTGGTGGAGCAGTGTAGATGACCCAACGACATTGGAGTATTCAGCAAACACGTTTGAGTTCTAGCAGGATTTCTAAGAAGAAACCCGTGCCAACATTCCGAGTGTGGACGGGTGTGCGTGTTTGAGGTGGGAATTTGTTGGGGATTGAGACTACGAACGGGAGGAAACTTGAGCAAATATCCTGATGAATGGCAACTCAACTTTGTTGAATCGCAGTAATACTCCATACTACTGTACTATGCATCACTAAAGATATGAATACGGTCATATAATACCAAAGCTTTGGTACAATAGACTGTTTTTCGCACATCCAAGAATATTTTTCAATTTGATCCGCCAAACTTCGCTTGGAAGCGCCGTTGTGGTGCCCGAACTGCTCCCATTAGCCATCTCAAGGCATCAAGTTCCAAAGAACGACTGGCGCTCGCTCATCAGGGTAACCTTATCAGGTCCTGACTTTAGATATTCCGGTCATCCATGAAAAGAGCACCGTTCTGCTCGCACCTCCCAGTGGGTTCTGCGCACCACTGCAGCAGTGAGGTGGCGACGGGCAGTGGAATTTTTCATGCTTTCGTTGCTGATGAGGCAGCTTTGACATGGAAAGTCCAGGCTTTGAGGCAAGGCATATTCTGAAAGAGCAGAACAACAGGTAACACATAAACACGTTAGCCTCAAAACGCCCGACTTCCGTTGTTTTTATCCATGATTCACATGTTCCCTGGCACCCCCCATAGTCAAAACACATCAAAAATGGACCACCCTTGCTAAGCACACCAACTGGTTTTGCATGGTAGACAGACAGTTGTGCTGGTCATCCGTTGTTCGCATGGTCAGAAGGGTGGCACAGCTTCCCGACTCAGCTTTCCCGGCGGGAACGTCGCAGGCTGTGCGTATTTTGACAGTCAAAAGTAGATGACCTCCACGACGACAGAAAGAAGCCAGTCACCCTAGTGCCCCAAATGGCTTAGTCCCGGAACATAGGATTTGGGAGGGTGGTCCCAAAGGCCTAGCGCTGGAACATAGGATTTGTTTCCTCCGGGCGTGTGTGTAGTCCATGGTCACCGTCTAAAGCTTTGAGTTTTCACTTTCCTCCGAGTTTTTGAGTAGCCGAAGGTCACCTTCCCAAGCTGTGAACTTTCACTTTGCCTCCAGATTTTCTGGTTGTCGGTTGTCCCGTGCCAAAATCCTGGGTTTCCGAGAGCCTTGAGGTTTGGATTTTCCCTCCAACCTGGAACCTTGTAGCTAAAAACAAGGGCCAGACTAGCTCTGTATCAACTACAAACTCTTCGTGCCCATCGGAATTGAGATCACTCTTGCTGATGTTCTCTAATCTGGCTTGCCACTTAGACTATGGCACTGGGGCTCCGAGTGGATCCTAAATACGACGCCAAGCTATCTAAAGCCCTTCCCCAAGAATTGAAAAATGGGAATGAAGAGATCCCAAAGACACCCCACATGGCCCTGGTCACCAGGCAAAACCCGTTCTTTTGGAGTCGTGGAGGGTGCTGAACTGCAGGCAGCTGTTGGCTTCAACAGCTCTTCTTTTGTCGGACCCAAGAAATTCTTACAAACCCCTGGTTTCATCAAAACAAACATATCAGCTTCGACCTGTAGATTGGAGGAGACTAGCTGCTAGCTCGAGTCAAGAGTCTACATTGGCGACGGCTCGGGTGTGTTTCCCCACGCATCTCCGGCTTGTCAGGGTGAAGAAACAGGGACCGTGGTTTCAGGGTCCAGAAACCTGGTGAAATCCTCATTCCTGGATGATCGCGTGACCCAAAAGGCACGGTTTCATGCGCGATTCCGTTCAATGTTCGTGGCGCAAGTCGGTTGAGACTCGGCGCCGTTTCGCATGTTCGGGGCGGTGTTGCGGGACCACTCTCTTTCGCGTCAGGTCAGTGGTGGAAGATGCGAGGAGTGCAGTGCCAGGACGGACTCCTGCGTTGGGCTGGGAGGGTGGAACGTGAAAGCCCTGAGTGAAAAAACTGAAAAGCAGATGATTGCATGCCTTTAAAATAGAAGAGCCTTGGAGAGAACAACCTTTGGCAGAAGTCTGTATTCTCTTGGTGAGTTGTTTCAACATTGGCGGCTGGCCGTGAACCACCACCCGCATCAAACAGACTGGCGCCCCAAACATGTGCAGTGGACACATGACATCACGGGTGAATCTGGTGAGACATGGCTTGGTAGTTTCCTGGAACCCCGGACTTAAGTGGAACGCGGGGGGCCTCTTTCTTACGCTTAGTCCCTACAGGCAAGGTGAGGCTGGTTTTCCTTTGGACCGTGCGCAGGGTGGATCACATTCTTCACTTCGGCGATCACAATCTGTCCAAGAACGCCCACAGTTTGAAGATCGGAGAATGCCCTGTGTGTTTTTGAGGGAGGTTTCGTCTGTTTTTCGCAATGTTTTGTTTTTGCCAGGAAAGGGGTGAGTTTACAGGTTGAGGTAGTCCACCCGTCGGGATTTCCACCCACCCCAAGATGCAACAATATAGACATAGATATATAGAAACATTAGCAATCGTCAATATATTTTATGAAACAATAGAAGCTATATCTATATCAATGTCAATATCTATCTATATTATATCATGGACCAAAACCACTGTTCCATCCTGCCAAGCAAAATGGAGAGTCTGAGTCTACTGGAGCCGCTACGAGCGACGGCTCACATGAGGAACGGCGCCCTGGCGCTCGCCAACAGCGCACGCCGGATGCGGTGCTCGCAGGTGACGAGTCAATGCGGTTTTCACTGCTCGGTGACTTGAAATATATAGGTTCTTGTTCCTAGTAGCGATGGCCTCCAACCTACTTGCGATGGCCTCCACCAAGCATAGCGTCCCAACGCTACTAGTAGCTTCTTATTCCAATCTCAGAGACGAATCATTTCAAGAACGACTTTGTTTCGAAACTTCTTGTCCTTTAGCCGGCCTAATTAGCCGTTGTCTTCGTCATGTTTCACCTGTCAAACGAATCTTATGAAGATCAATCACCGCTGGTCACCAGCTCACGACCCTTGAGGTTTGCCACAAGTCGCATCTTTCATCGAACAGGTCACGTCGATCTAGGATCGTGCATTTCAATGAGCGATCCAACGAGGGGACCGGACCATCCTGTCAACAGGATGTTTAGCCATGGTCTCCCCTGAGGAGCTAGCTGCAAGCGCCCAAAGAAAGCCCTAGGTAGATGATTTTAAGAAGAGTCTCACACACCAAGACCAAGATGTCCCAAAAAACGCCCGAACCTGTCAGGTCCAGCTGAGACCTCGTTGCCTGGCAGGTCCACTCCTGACGATGTCGCCTGGACCGCATGGGCATTGACTTAACGGAGTTTTTTTCAGGATTCAGGAGGTCTGGGGTTTGCAAGAGGAAAGGGAAAATGCACAAGGAAAGATAGGCTTTGGGAGAATGCGTCGCTTGGACTCCAAACCCTCTCAGCAACAACACGAAGCTATGGTGGTTCATGTTGACGAAGGGCGTTCGCTTCCTGCCGTGCTTTTGGAACCTGCGGCCGTTCTTCTCGGACCCGACACCGCCGAGACCGACCCCACCGATGCCACCGGTCACACTGAACTTCTTCCTCCGAGTCCTTTGGGTCGTGCCTTCGGCAGCGCGATGCCGGTCAACCGCCGCGGGGGGCCAGGTTCCACCGCGGCGCCGGCTGCAGTGGCAGCACCCAGGTCCGCGCAGAAATGGTGTTGGGCGTGGATTCCCAAAAGAGTGCCTTCCCGCCCTGCTGGAACAGCTTGGCCTCACGGATTCGGCGGGAAAGGCGTCGACCTGGCAGAGTCCGGTCATTTGAGGTGACACTTTCCTCAGTCCATCTTCTCTTTGGGGGGCTACAGGTTGCAGGTATCTTTCCATTAAAAAATGTGTGGAGGAGTTTGACAGACAAGTCAGTTTAGGATCAGATTCTGATGTGTTTCTGACCTTCACTGGCTGAGTTTTGACTGCAATTCAGGATGTTGCACCATTTTTTTGAGTTTGATCTTGTTTGGGTTTAAAACACATTAAAAATACTGTACCACATCAAAGGAGACGAAAAGCAGACTTGACAAGACGAAAAAGGACGGAAGTCTTGTTCTCAGTGTTTTGGTTCCACCGGACCCGAATCTCAGTCCTCCGTGTCTGTCGCCAACGGGTCCAGCCGTGTGTTTGGCATCGACTGCGAGGAACCTCCCGCTGTGCGGTCCGACTCGGAAGATCGAGGATTCGCTCAAATGAACCCATGGGGGTGGAATGGTTGAAAGCTGTTGAATATTGTGGAATTCTTTTTGTTTCACCAAAGCTGAGGTAGTAGTAGGCGCTCAAGTTCTTTGTCTTTGGGTTTCGAGTGTGAGATGCAACAATGTGTGGCAGATATATATAATAGGCTGTGAGCACTTTTGGCATCCTGCATAGATAGCCGGAAGTGCGATAGTCCGATTTTCACCTGTCCAGAACAACTGCTTCTCGCGGCGGCAGGAAAGCACATCATGCTGCGGACGTCGATCTCCAGGATAGCCAGACTTCAAGGCGTGTTGCTTGATTTTTGAGTGGCTTTTTTTTTTGTGTGTGTGTGTGCGTGAAACAAAAGTCACAGAGGAGGATATCATCCTGTTCACTAAAGGTTAGGCCAATCCAGAGGAAGCTGCGCGTTTCTAGTTGCCTGTGGCTCCTGTGAACATTTTGGCAATGATCAGTCACGAGACTCTCGCGAGACTGGCAGTACATCCCGGCCGCCTTTGAGTTACTTCCGCGGTGCAAATGCACATGGCCTTGAGTGGGAGTGCTGTTTTCTTGGTTTTGTCTGCCATAGTGTATGCACTAAACTATGCCTGGGCTGAGTTCATCAAGGAGGAGGCCGCTCAGCAAGATGCAGCAAGTGCTTGCAAGTATGGTGAGTGGCAGGCAGTGGGTGTGTGTTCCGTGACGTGTGGATCAGGAGTCCAACAACTCAAACGTTTTCCAGGTGAGCAAAATGAGAGTTGCCAAATCCAGTCCACGGAACGTCCTTGCGAAGCAAGCTCTTGTCCAAGGAATTGCGAGGGTCAGTGGGGTGCTTGGGGCCCATGCAAGCAAAACTGCACCCAGCTACGCCAGTATCGCATTGTCCGCCCAGAGACGAATGGAGGCCGCGCTTGCAGTGAGAAGGATCGGGCCATACAGTCCACAGCTTGCAGTGATGGAGAATGCTCAATTGACTGCAGTGTGGGGTCCTGGAACGCAATCGGAAACTGCACTCGTCCCTGTGGAGGCGGTGAGCAGATGTACCACAGGCCAGTTTTACAAGTTCGTGTTGGACGCGGACAAGCTTGCCCTGCCTTGGAGAAAAGAGAGGCTTGCAACGCCCAAGATTGCGCGTATCCCAAGATCTTGGCAAAGCTACGAGTGATGATCCAGAACTTCTCTTCTGGAGAACCGGTTATGGATGTTGTGAGATCAGAAGCAGATGGTTTCAAGTCATTGGCCAAGACATCGCACAGTGATGATCCACAAGGAAAAGAATGGGGCATGTTTGTTGACAACGTGAGGGCTTTGGCAAGAGATTACAATCAGGGAAAGAAGAAGCTGTACCAAGCTCTTCTGAAGTTGATGACTCTGTCAAGGCAGGCGCCCGATGAACTTGAGGCACTCTTCCAGGAGTTTCTTGCAAAAGACTGGGCGCTTGCCCGGCGAAGGTTCAACAGGTTCTTGCACAAGGTTTCAAGCATTCACCAAATGATTGACGAGGTCCACAACTCGTTCATGGAAATGGAGAAAGCAGCAGAACTGCACCGCGAGAAGGCCGTTGATCAGCAAGAGACTTTCACAGACATTGCAGCTGCGGTTCGCCGTTTGGGAGTGTCTGGAGAATCAGTGGATTTCAGCGGATTTGCCGTGGAGAATGGTGTAGATCATCGAGGCGCTGATATTGCATGTGGGAAGTTCACAAGTATTCATGCATTGGCTAGCCAGTGCTTGCATGATTCATCTTGCCAGGCCTTCACAGTGTGGAATGGAAAGCCATGGTGTTTGAAGCACCTGCGCTTTGATGATGGCCCCGTCAGCGATGGGACGCACATCTTCTACAGGAAGCTTGTCCAGAGTGGAGGGGTGGTCCAAACCGAAGAGAGAGTCGAAGTGTTTCTGAAAAGATGGTCCTTTGCTGCCAGCTTGCTCATGACCGTTGAGAACACGATCAACCGTGTTGCAGAGAAGGTTGGCAGCATAGAGACGGAGCTCAATGAGATGGGCATGATCTTGGCTGAGTTGGAAGGTCTCTTAGGTGTTGACCAAGAAGTACAACATCGTGTGGAAGAGCTGCTTCATGACATTGCTTCTGCATTCACCACGATCGTTGCCTGTTTGGAGCCATCTATGAAATGAGGGCTCCAAACAGGCTTGCCATTGCCTCGGTGTTTGGAAAGCCAAAAAGCAGGGCTGAAGTCGGCCCACGTGGGCTTCCGGCTTCCAGTGCAGAACTGAGAGCAAGGGACATGGACCTAAATGCCTTTAGACACAAGTTCGAGAGGCCTGCATGTTTGGTAGTTTCAAGTGACATTCTGCGCAGATGACAAAGTCTGTTAAGTTTGTTATGCCTTCTTGCAAGCTGTGTCGGCAGATTTCTCATCGATGTAATCTAGCCCTGCTTTGAGCTAAGAGGTCCGAAAACTTTTCTTCGGAAAGCCGTTGGAGGCTGAAAACTGAGCTGCGACAGGTTGAGCTTCAGCCATGTCGGCAGAAGATGCACGCCGATGTGATGCTCATGACTGCTGGGTGCTCAGAACAGGATCTTAGACAGGTTCTTCTGCAAAACGCAGAGAAATAACAGGTTCTTCTCAACAGGCTCTTCTCCTTAAAGGTCTTAGCAGGTTCACTTGATATGTTTTTTACTTCTGACAGACTGGGATCTTGAGAACAAGTTGTTCTTTATTTTCCTTGCCCCGTGTCTTTTTTCTTAGAGGTGCGTGTAAACATGTATATAAATTGCTAGATGTTTTTTGTTCATTTCTTGAAGGTCAGGGCCTTTGAGTCTGACGACATGTCGGGAGATTCTTGCGAATTCGGGTGTTTCGTGACGACGCGTCGGGAGTCGCGTAACAATTCTGGGATCCTTTATGCGTAGTGTTTTTCTCATTCGCTGCCTTCTTGGATAAGAGAGAAGAATTGAAGTTGAATGACTCATCGAACATGTTACTCAGAAACCATCAGAATCCAACTAATTAGATTAGATGTTGATTGCACCCAAATCCGCCAGCAGCTGCAGATCCCTTTGCGCCAGTGGGCCAGACCCTGAAGATTGGGTGTGCCACACAAGTTGGTGCATCATTTTATGATGTTTGTTTTACAACAACGCTACAAGGTGCACCCAAACACAAAGACTTCACGATAGTCTTTGTGGCAACAGCTCTCTCTCTCTCTCTATACATTCTATGCACAGGAGAAGCCTCGGTTACAATCACTTACAGTGGCCACCTTCCTTTGCCTTTGAGGTGGCAGATGGTGGCTGTTGCTGCATCTCTGGTGAATCAAGTCAATGGCCACACGGCAGGCGCGACCATTTTGCCGTTCCATCGCATCTGGCACCGATTTTCACGGTACATCATGTCCCCCACGTCAGGGACATATGTACTTGTAGCCCTCTCAGGGTACATGCTCTTGTGGAGACCAGCATCGCTCACTTCCCGCTCATTTTGGCGTCGGAGTTTTTCCTGGATTGAAGGATGGATCGACTCCCTGTGTTGGGGCGGGAACGAACCTGGCTCATGTCAGAGAGGTTCAAAGTGGGATCATTCCATTTCTTTGAGTTGCGAAGCTAACAATTTCCAAACTCTGTTTCTGATGAGTATTTCACATGTTTGTTTGTTGTTCCTTTCTGAGGAGGTGCTCCTGCAAGCCAGCTCACAAGGCAATGGAGGAACCCAGTAGCCCTCCCAGTCGAGGTAGGCAGACCCAGTAACAAGCTGTCGCAGTGAGTTGTTGTATTATAGTTCAAAGAGCAGGAGGACGCATTGTGTTCCGAAGCAAATCACAGTTGCTATCATTGAAGATTGTTTGGGAAAGAACATGGCGGAACTCCCGATGCCTAGTTATTTCCTGTCGGGCAACGCCAGAATCAAAGCTCCCATTCTTGCCTTTTGCGGGGAGCATCGCCTCGATGATCAACGAGTCAACTCCATCCTCCCACATAATTAAGCCATGTGGCATCCTGGATCACCCGTCAGGGGATGGAGGGTGGATCTATATATTCAACACTATTCAACTCCATCCCCAGGAGAAGAACCCAGTTCCATCCTCCCCACACAACCACCGGGTGGATCCATCCGCTTTCGGCGGAGGCGGATCGAGCTCGAGACCGGCGGAGGGCTGACACCGCTGGGTCGAACTCCGCGGATCGTGTCCGGCGGCTCGGGGGCGATCCGGAGCCGGTTGGGGGGCATCGCCTTAGGTAGAACGGTAGAGCTGGCAGCTGAGGTGAATATATTTTTTGAACCATATCATATCCACCGGCCACCATAATCATATCCATGGTAGCGGTGGGTTCCTGGCAGCCCTGGCAGCCTTGATGGGAATGGGAACTAGATGCCAAGCTGGTGGTTTTCGGATCACTTTTAATTTGAACCTTTAGTTGGGATGATGAAACCCCCACCGAAGAGTTTCTTATTTTGTGAGTTTGGGAATACACCCAGCCAGAATGTTGAAGCAAACTCTTCTGCATCGAAACCAAGGCTGAACTCTTTCTGCCCAGCCTTGACCTCTTCGTTTTGGAGGTGCACCGTGCTCCACCGAGGCGCGTGGCGAACACCGCGGTGCGTAACGTCCGCGGCGCACCGCGTTGTCTCACAGTGCAACGCGACCAGTACTCCCCCGGAGCTCACATGGATGCGGAGTGAAAATTCCTGTAAGCCATGGTCTTCTTGACTGTCATTCCATCCACTTCCGTTTTAGTTCCAAGGAGTGTATCATTGAGCCTTGCCTTACATAGCTTCTTTTCATGATGTGGATGCCTTTGAACTTGGTCAGTGTTTGACCAGTGAACGAATAGCTGACATTCGCCGAGGTTTCAATATGGGTGCGTATTGAAGCAGGGAGACCTCCCAAAGACCCCCTGCAAGAAGGAAATCAGACTATTAATTAAACACATGCCCATATGTGCTGGGACATCATACCCACTCTAGAAGCCGACCTTTCTTGGTGGAGCGACCTGTGAGCACGCACCCTTGCATGAAGAGGGACGGTCACGCAACCCTGTGAGAGCAGATCAACCATTGTTGTTTATGATTACGCCTCAATGAGAGTGTCATGGTTGGACAACCTTGCAAACGGCCCAACAATAACACAGACACCAAATATGTATATATAATTATAGCAATACATACTCTTTGGACATTACGCAGGGCGCATGCCATTGTAGCGAAATGCAAGAGGGTGCACGAGACTGCGCAACAAATGAGTATGGCGCTTCAAAGTCGGGCTTGGAGAGTACTAGTAGGACCAATCATTGGACTCAGTATACGGGCGCCTGTTCCATCCCTTTTTCCTCCTCGCCATCCAAATCGCGTTGGGATCAATGGTTAGTACATGTTAACTACGTCATTCTACGGAACATCTGCTACGCTGTCATTCTCCTCCTTCTTCTCCTCCTCCTCCTCCTCCGCGCGGCTCGCCTGAATGACGGCTCTTCGGGGGCCATCGGATCCACCGAAGGCCATGGCTGGCGGGTTGCCGCCGTGGAATCCATCGGTCCAAGGGAACGGGAAAGACGCATCCGATGAACGACGACGAAGCGACGGAGCTCGGATGACGCTGGCTCAGAGCTGCAAATGACCTCGGGTTTTTCGTCAAGACCGGCAGGACCGTCCTCGCTTCGTTGGGGGCGTTTTTTGGGCGTCTCTTCTCAAGAACTCGGAGTATCACGGTCTAGACCTTGCCGTGCAGATTCCAGCGCAGACTCTGTAGACACCGCAGACTCTTCAATGTCGGCTTCGAAGCCAAGGCCTTGCCAAACAACCTATCTATCACAAGTTCTGGGTCATTTTGGAAATGGCCTGGGATTGCTTATAATCCGTTTAACTTCCAAACGCCCAAACAATGGATCACTATCCCCACCAGATGTATTCTCGGAATCGATGGCTTCTTTGCTTGGAAGGCGGGTGAAGGATGCCACCGGTGATGGAGGAGCCGTGCCGTCGGCGGTCACCAGACGTGCCAGCTGCTGAGGGAATGAACTGCTGTGGGTTTCGTCAACTCATTTTTGGGGAAGTAGAGTGTTATTTTTTATCTTATGAAGCCAACGAAGTTCAGATTTGAAAGCATGTGTGTCCATTGATGACATCAAGAAGTGGTTCATTCAGAAGGAACTAATAACTTGCCAGCTACAAGGGTTTGCTTGCTTTTTGTCATTGGCGTATGGAGAGATGCGTTTCACGCTGAATGTGATCGATGTAATCCGTGTCAGGACTTGCGATCGATGGATGCCAGTGCGGCGACCGAAAAAAGGTCGAGCAGACCTTCCATGCAGACACGGAGAGGAGACACGTTGGAGACGCAGAAAGGGGCACGACTCTACGGTATGCCCGTAGACTCCATAGAGCAATTTTCGAGAATGAGAGAACTCAGATGAACACTGCATTGGGAGGATAGAAATCTCGTCTTCCAAGCTCAATCTTTGTGAAGTGGTTCAATGCAAATCACTCGGACACATTACTCAATGATTCGGATAGCTTTTGTGTGGCTCAAAAGGCCTATGGTGACATTGAATAAGATGTCTGCACCTGCAAACCCTGCTGTTAGAACACTCCATTGCAATCAAGAAGAGCTATTGTAAAGTTGTGATATTGCAGAAATGCTCTCATTGGAAGCAATCACGCAGTAAACAACGCAGCGGCACGACGGCCCAAGTCAAATGTTCACAGCAGTTTGACTCGGGCTCGGAGGACAAGTGACGGGACAAGAACCCAGCTACCAGTCACATGGAATGTTGAGGTGGTCCTGAGGCAGAGCCATGGCCTCCATTGCAGAGGCTGACATCGACTTGAAGCTCAACAAAACGTCTCCAATGGGCGGGTGTGTCTCCTTGTTTTGGTCTCCACATACTCAACAGCAGATCTAGCAATCGTGTTGAACGGTCAAGGCAGAGCAACTTCCCCATCAAAGGCCGTAATCTCTGAGTTGCTTGTTTCTGAAGCAACATTCCTGTCCTGAACACACTGAATCCAGCTAAGCTCCAGCTAGTCCTTCAGACGGGTTTTCCCGCTGATCTTCCCCGCTTCTTCCGAGGAATCAGAATGCCTTCCTGCTGATCCACGGATGGACGGTGGGACCCCTGCTACTGGAGTTCACGGGTCGATTGCTGGAGACGTGTCGAACGGCCAAGACGGTGTCGCAAGTCGCCAGCGAGACGGAGGCCCATGAGGGCCCCTTGGCCATCACTCTGCGCAGCTGTAGTGCTCTGGGATTTCTGAAATTCAATCCGAGATCCTCGACTTGAATTTAGCTGATTTTGCCTTGGGCTATCATTTTTTCACAAAGCCAGGGTCTTTGTGCGAAACAAGGCCCCATCGGCCCCATAAGACACTTTCAACAAGACGAGCAAAGATCAAGTCACACAGTGGATGCTGTCCAGAAATTCTAACCCACACACTTATAGATATGCGTACTGACTTGACAGCGGTGCCACACGCCAGCCTAGGTTACCATTTCCTAAGGGTACAGGTAGAACAAAACCAAAAGCATCGACGATCACGCGACAGGCTGACGACGTTCGTGCATGACTGTGGCTCACCTCGAAATTCAAAGCGTAAACTCAAATTCCAGATCAAGTGCATGACTGCCGATGGTGAACAGATGCAATGGCTGGTCAGCTTGTTCTAGTTAAGGCGGGGCCTAAGAGGAAATGAGAAGTCATCACGGAGCAGGTACAAGTGGTTGATCAGACCACTCATCCACCGAAATGCCATAGCTTCGTTGGACTGGATAGGCAACTCGGCTCCAGTCCCCCTGCTGAAAAAAGAAAGAAGTCCATCAAACATTCCAAATGGATCCCTGTGATTACAAGGGGCACACACACACGCCTCCCCGAGGGGAGGCATATTTTAAGCGCCAGGCCGGGAAGGTTGAGTGAAACTAACGAAACTGACGAAGTTCACGGAAAGGTTGGTAGGCAGTGAGGGGAACTCGTGTCAATTGACAAGTGGCATCATCATGTAAACGGGGGGCGACTGTGTGAAGAGGTCGGTAGGGGAAAGGGGTGGCATCTCGTGAATATTCTTGTGATATACCAAGTACACGAAGTCGTCGAGAGTTGACGTAGTACAGAACAAGATCTTCAAGAGTACAGGTGTGTGGGACTTCCTAAACTCGGGAGTCCGGATAAGAGTTCATAGGAAGGAAGGCCGCCAAACGCCTGGAAGAAACCTCGGCAAAAAAAGTGGCCTGAGTAAACCAAGTGCAAAATAGAAGTAAGGCGGTGAACCTAAGGGTAGATCCAAATACTTTGGAAGATGCACCATGGCTCAGCTACCTACCGACTATGAAGTCAGTCAAAAAAGACCCAAATTTCGAAATGGCCAAGTCCTAAAGAAGGCTTCATGTTCAAAGTCTGCGACGGGCTGCCAGTGCCAGTTTCCAACCTGTGAGCGAGACAGATGAATCGCCCTAAGGTAGGTAGGCAAGACAAAAACTTAACACAGGATAGGTGAAGTAAGAAATTGGAAGCCTCCTGTTCTAATGACCGAGACGAAGGAATCGCTCATAGTGATAGCAAAAGGGAAAGAGAGAACCGACAGACAAATCTGCCAGCAAACTTTGCCTCCACTTTAGAGTCGCTTTGTAGTGCAAGAAAACAGGTACACATCCACGGCCAGTGATGCTTCCCTCTGTGATAGAGTAGCGTCAGAGAACTCTGTTGCTGAAAACATTCGATATGCCAAAAGGCAACCTGTGACTCCAAGGTGTGCCCGCACACATACTTATTGACATGCGCGCCGATTCGATTGCGGTTGCCACACGCCGGCCTAGGTAACAGATTTTGCTTGAGTAAACCGGCAGAACGACAAAAGTAGGTTGGAGGCCATCGCTAGGAAGTTGGAGAAGTTTGGAGGCCATCGCAAGTAGGTTGTGCGCACAAGCTGAAAGCGACACCAAGCAACAAGGTTGTAGGTCATCGCTAATGGCTTGGAGGCCATAGCGCCAGGTTGGAGGCCAGCGCTACGAGTTTACAAGACCCAACCCGCAAAGCAGCATCAAAGCAACGAAGGTTGGAGGTCATTTCTAGTGCGTCGGAGGCCATCGCACCAGGTTTGAGGCCAGCGCTACTAGTTCACAAGACACAAACTCAAAAACTCAAAACACATCAAGCAGCAAGGTTGGAGGTCAGCATTAGTTCGTTAGAGGCCGTGGCACCAAGTTGGAGGCCAGCGTTACGAGTTCGTAGCTAGAAAAGGAAGGGAAGCCTCCTGTTTATAGCTAGGGGCGAGACGCGCCCCATTAGATAGATAGAGAAGGACAACAGAAGGAAAGGAACCGACGCACACAGTCACAGTCCACCGAGAACCATTTCCTTCTGTTATCCGTTAGGGTTGGGTAGGTGCAGGTACACAGTGGAGGAGCGTCCCCCACTCATCAACTGATACCCTCTTTGCTGGACGGGTGGTATCAGCGGTGACCCGTCCCCCTGCAACAAGTTTAACTGGATCCCTGTGACTCCAAGGGGTACACATCCCGTTGAGGGAGGCGAGAAAAATTAAGGTTGCGAGTTGCGACCAATGCGCACGCGTGCGCGCAAAACAGACAAACAAACGACGACGTGAAAGGAGGACGAGACAGACCGTAGGCATGTGGTTGCGATGAGAGGGAAACCGCAGGGACAAAAGATGAAACCCCCCTCATTGTCAGAACCTCGGTTTGAAATGGATGTGAATTTGCACGTACATACTAAGGCAAAGAAGGGATGAGGTATGAAGACAGGGAGACATGAAAGAAAAGAGGAAAAGAGAGGTGCGTGAAGGGGACAAAGATGAAAAGGGAACCAAATGGAGGGGACAGGAGCCGATTAAACCAAACCTCATTGAAGACCTGTTGTAAATGCCTCGTTTGTATGTAAGCACGCCGCGCACGAGGGAGGGAGGGGTAGGGAGAGAAGAGAGAAAAGAAAGAAAACAGAAAAGGAAACGACGGTGTTCCCAGCTACGACACAAGCGTCCAGGGGGACACCAGGGAGAGGGGTGTACCTGAGTGTTGCATTCAGGAACACCCCAAAAGGCGAAGAAGGAAGAGAGGGGAGGGAAAGGGGAGGAAAGGGATCAAGGTTCCGACAGGTTCCAAATGAACCTTGAGTGGCCCCGGCCGCTGCGGCCACGTACGCCGTGCCTAGATGGCTGGCTGCTCTGACCGCTGCGGGCACCTAATGGCTTGCCCGAGGACTGCCTACTTGGAATGCAAAATCAGCAATTCTAAGTCTTGGCAAGTAACTTTGGCATAAGCCTCCTGCTGTCCGTTTCGGACACCTACGTTCCCGGCAGGGGGAACAACGACAAACCCTCGTTCAACGGGTCCACCGGGGCCACTCGTCGGGGTCACCCTGGGCTGACACTATAAGGTCAGACACACTTATTGACACGCGTACCGATTCGGTTGCAGTTGTGCCTAGGTAACAGATTTTGCCTGGGTAAGCCGGCAGACCCGGCAGAACGACGAAAGTAGGTTGGAGGCCATCGCTAGGAAGTTGGAGGCCATCGCCCAAGTTTGGAGGCCATCGCAAGTAGGTTGCGCGCACAAGCTGAAGGCCACACCAAGCAACAAGGTTGGAGGTCATTGCTAACGGGTTGGAGGCCATAGCAACAGGTTGGAGGCCAGCGCTACGTGCTTACAAGACACAACCCGCAAAGCAGCATCAAAGCAACAAAGGTTGGAGGTCATCTCTAGTGCGTCGGAGGCCATCGCACCAGGTTTGAGGCCAGCGCTACTAGTTCACAAGACACAAACTCAAAAACTCAACACACATCAAGCAGCAAGGTTGGAGGTCAGCATTAGTTCGTTAGAGCCCGTGGCACCAAGTTGGAGGCCAGCGTTACGAGTTGGTAGCTAGAAAAGGAAAGGGAAGCCTCCTGTTTATAGCTAGGGGTGAGACGAGCGAATCGCCCCAGTAGATAGAGAAGGACAACAGAAGGAAAGGAACCGACATACACAGTCACAGTCCGCCGAGAACCATTTCCTTCTGTTATCCGTTAGGGTTGGGTAGGTGCAGGTGCACAGTGGAGCGTCCCCCACTGCATCAGCGCCAACTGATACCCTCTTCGTTGGACGGGTAGTATCAGCGGTGACCCGTCCCCCTCACACCTAAGATTCTGCAACTGTCCATCGTGACATTTGGCTTCTCCGAGCTCGCCGATATCGACCGGTTGACCGAGGCGATGCCACTTATGTGGTGGCGGAAGCTGCTGAGTTGGAGGAGTTGGAAGAGGTGTTCGCGTCGAAGGGGGAGCAGCTTTGGTCCATCTACCGCGACTCCCAAGCTCCGTTCAAGATCCCTTCGGAGCAATGCACACGCTGCCTGGAGCTCTGGGAAGCGATGTGTAGTGAGACGACGATG